GCGTGACCAGCTCTGGAGGAAGTGTGGGCCCGTCTCGGCTAGCCTGGGCCGGGAGAGACGATCGGCGTGCGGAACTTGCCCCTCGCCTTGCGGACTGCCTGCGTGTTGCGCTTGACGGCGCGGGCGCTCGCGACGAGCAGGTCGACCCGCTTGTGTACCGTGTTGCTCACCACGCCTCCCGCAGCGCGGATCGACTTTGCAAGCTCCGCCTGGCCGACGCCCGACTCGTCGCCGCCCGCGCTCAGGGCGAGGGTCAGGCCGGCGAGCGCTCTGCTGGACGACGCGGCCGCTCCGGAGGCCGCGGCCGCTCCAGCGCTGGCTGCGGCGGCGGCACCGGCTCCCGCCTCTGCGGCAGCCCGGCCGAGCTCACCGAGGAGGACCCGCTCCTTGGCCTCGTCCAGCGAGCCCGCCTTGCGCTCGAGAAAAGACGCGATGGCCTCGACCTTGTTGGGCGTCACGATCTTCCCGCCCGGCCACGCCATCGAGCGCTTTGGCAGCGGCGGCGGCGGCTCCCTCGCCGCGGCCTCGAAGCGGCGCCGGCGCTCCTCGGCCTTGGCTCGCTGGGACTCGAGGAAGGACGCGTCGACGCTGACGTCGCGAGACATGAGAGCAGGTGGAGAGAGCGTGCGGCAGCCACAGGACTGAAAGAACGAACGCGGAACATGACGCGGAAGGCACGACGGGCAAACCCCGCAAAGTGACCCGTTTTTACCCACCCACGCCCGTGCGCGCGTATCTTAGCTAAGGTACGCGGCCACACGCGCGGGCGCGCACGGCAACCGGGACTTACACGCGCGACACGAGGGACTGTGTATCCTCGCCTGCCTCGGGGGAGAATAGCCGCCCTCACCCGCTGCCGCGCATCGAGCTCGGCGCGGGGCTGATACGTGTCATTCTGTGCCGGCGCGTATCTTAGCCAAGATACGCGGCCACACATGCAGACGCGTATAGCGGTACTCGCGCCCACACGTGCAGCCGCCTATCTTGGCCAACATAGGCGGGCGTGAGCGCGTGAAACGGCCCGTCGGCGAAGGCGACTCGCGCTGGCACGTGCACAGAGGGATGTTCACATACGCGGCTACACGTGT